ATGCCATGGAGATGTTCTATTTTGGTCATGTCTGTTTGGTGTCTAAGAAGTTTCCTGTACCAAGATGAGCATCTCTTTCTCAAAATTTGGGATTTTTTCTTAATTGTTTTGTTGAATAAGTTTCCTATGCCTTTTGCTTGCACATCTTCTTTTCAATGTCCATGATTTGTAAATTTGGTATTTTAATTGAGTTGCAGTGTTCTTACATATTTCTTTCTTATTTCTTCATTCTTTTCTCTATGTATTTATCTGTTTTATTCTCTTTATCTACTTTGTTTTCAAGTCCTAAAATCCAGTCTCAAGTTGTTCTATCCTGCCAGAGTCCTTTCAACTGCATTTTTATTTGACTTAGGAGCTTTTATTTCCAGAGCTTCCATTTTTTTGAACTTTCTATATCTTTATAAGGTTCCCCTATCTCATCTTGCATTTTCTTTTTATTTCATTTATCTCTGTTTTTGTATCTTTTTTATTTCATTCAGATGTTTGTTTATTTCCTACTTTTGAGTTTCATTTAGTTGTTTTTGTGACTTCTCAAGCTATTTATCCATTTTCTCTTGGATTTCATTGACTTAGTTTTGCCTGCCCTCTTTAACTTCTTTAACCATTCTTATCATAATCTTTTTGAGCTTGGAGATTGAGGTTTCATCCCTTTCACTATCCATCAGATTCTTTGTTGTGTGGCTGTTGACTTTTGGAGGAGTCACATTCTCCTGAATTTTCTTACTTCCCATGCTTCTATTTGAGATTTGCTCATCTGTTAAGTCCAACAGTGTTTTTTTAATGAAGTTGGGTGTGCTAACATTGGGTGCACTTAAGTTAACATTTGTTAATTCCTCTTCATGTATTGTTCCTTTATTAGTATGAAGTGACCTATTTTGTCTCTTCTGACTAGTTTAGGTTTGAAGTCTACTTTAAGATGTATAACTACTCCTGCCTGTTTTGGGGATCCATTTGCTTGGTTGGGTGTTGCTTAGTTGGTTTGGGATTTTAGTCACCTGAACTCTTTTCTTGAATTAATTCCTGTGTTCTGGCAGAACTGGTTATTGGCTAAGTTGTTGTGTCATTTCTGTCCACTGACCTGGGAGTATAACTTAGCAATAACAAATTCTCAAATTCTATAACAAACCAAATATTTAGGTGAAATTCAAAAGTCTTGGCAGTGTTATCTATAAACAAGAGATGTTGGATAAATAAAAGTTCTTCACATAGAGATTAAAACTTAGACAGTAAAAATAATGGAAGTAGGAGAAGAAATTAAGAAGGGAATGAGTAAAGGAGGAAAAGAGGTGTGAGGTGTGGGGACTGCAGGTTAAAAAGATTCTAATGTAAATGAGTGTAGAGGTATAGTTCAGTTGCTGTGGAGGAGGATGCCACAGTCAAAAGAGATGGCAGAAAGTTAGAATGGGGGTTATATAGAAGGTAGTAGGATAAACCACTAGTTGTTAGAATGAGATAATGGATGTGGGAAAAAAGGGGGAGAAGAAAGGAAAGAAAAAAGAAAAGAAAATAAGGGGGGCTGTGATTTGAAAAACAAAGGAGAAAAAATTGGATTAAAAGAGGATAGACAAATTGAAACTTTGTCAAAACAGAAAAAAATGTTTTTTAAAGTTCAAATTTGAGTGCAGTGGATGTTGCCCTCCAATTACTGATCCCTTGGTTTTAGTCTGCAGTTCTCACATCTCTCCATTGGGTTGTGCTCACTTGTTTGAGTCTGTTTAGACAGATGGTCTCTGCCTTTCTTTAGGTAGATATGTTGGGCTGAGTAGCAAAAAATGGTGCACTCTTGTCTGGGCAAGTTTGGGCTGCTCCACTCAGGCTGTTTAGCCAAAGACTCCTCTTGGTGGGGAGAGTCAGTCACCTTCAGCTTGCTTATTTAGGAGGTGTCTCAGGAGTGGCTATAGGGATGGTGAGTAGGGTAGAGCAGCACCCTCTCCTCTGCCAGGAAAGCCTGGTAGTTGTATCTCAGGTTGTTTTACCAAAGGCTCCTCTTGGGTGCGGTGGGGTGGGATGAGGGGAAGAGAGTCAGTTTCAGCTCCCTTAGCTATGGGGATTTTCAGAGAAGATCATTACTAGTTGAGTAGGGAGAGGTGGCTTGTCTCCGTATGGGGTAAGTCTGGGAACTTTAGCTCAAGACAAAAGCTCTTCTCTGCAGAGGCAATAAGATTTAGCTTGCTACTAGGCTTCTCAGAGGTGGTTGAATGAGCTATTATTTCCCACAAGCTGGATTCAGGCTTGAATAGCCTGCACCCACACTGTCTTCCTTTGTAGAGAGAAGTGTGAGCTGAACTACAAGCCGTGGTGCCCCTCCCCCATGAGGACAGGAAATTTCACCTGATTTATTCAGCCAAAAACTTAATAAGCTTGTGGGATGCAGTCATATGCCTGCAAGCTGAACTGAGTTGTGTGATAGCGCTTAAGACTGAAAGTGGCTTGCTCATCTGCATTGTTTGTGGGTACCTCTCTCTGGTATCTGAGGACCCCTTAGTTGGTAGTCAGCAGTCAGCAATCAATAGTTGTTCACCTTTTCTCCATGGCTCCTGGAAGGCTCAAGCCCTGTGTTTTTTTTTTTTTTTTTTTTTTTTAGCACTTCAGATAGTCTTCATGGACTGGAGTCTACTCTAGTCCAGGTAAAGAAAAAAGAACACATGCCAGCAGCATAACATATTCCTGTGGTGCCCATACTCCAGGGGCAGATTTCCACTTTAAAAAGCTTATTTAGAGTTTGGTCATTGTTATTTGGTATATCTATATATCACCCTCTCATTTAGAAAGTAAACAGACTATCCTTGCCTGCCATGGACCCAAGATTATCTTTTAGGCTTGTGGGAGTTTGATGGTCTGGGGTCTATCAGTTAGCTACCATCTTAGAATCCCTTCTATCACTCTTTTGTAACTCACTTCCTCCCTCGCTTTAGCTGTTTTCTGCTTGTGTTTTGAATGAGTTTAGATTTATAAATGCACTGCAAACTATATTTAATCAAAATTCCATCTCTTGTCTAATTGTTTATTATTGTGTTGGATTCTTCTATGTCAGAGAAGAGACTCTAACTCAAAGTATAGAAAATGTTAAACTTCAATCCATTCCTCACCAATCAGCTGACTTTCCAGGTGCAAAACAAATTTTTCAATATAAATGTCAATCCAGCCTGATTTGCCTGTATTAAAAAATCAGGATACTTAGATTTTTGTAAAATTGACCTTTTGGGTTTAACACTAACTTAAAATAGTGAGGTTTTTGTACATACGTCCATTTTGCTCTGTCTTGATTTTTCCATTATTTAAAATCAAGTGGTATTGCCTTTGTTCTTGTTAACTTCATAAAGTGTTCTGAAAAATAATTTTAGAATTAATGTTTCAACAAAATAGGCTCTCTGATCATTCAGTTGGAACTCAAACATCTAACTGAGTTTGAATGCCTCTCCTGATGGGATTCCTTACTCTAAGCAAGACAGTTGAGCATTAGTTTTGTAATTTTGACCATTCCCAATCCTGCATTGACTGCTGTGCTGTGGGGGCATTCCCTTTCACTGGAACACAGAAACCTTCCTTGCGTACCTATCTTCTTTCACCTTGTAGAAAATAGGAGAGAAGACAACAGCTTGAAATTTAAGAATGCTATTCTGGAACATAATAATTTACAATATTGGTGAGCTAGAGCTAAAGAACATAGATCTAGCTCCAGCTCTTGCCCCATGTAGTTTTCTGACTTCCAAGTTACTATTTCTTTGTAGGCCCCAATTTTCTAATCTCTAACAAGTGAGATGGAAGAAGCTAGGTGGTTTAAGAATTTTTAGCTCAAGAATCTTTTGTTTTTCTTTCAAAATTAATCTTATGTAGAGTCCCAAAATAAACTAGATCGGTATAACAGTCCTGATTCAGGATGGTGGAGGTAAGAACTTTATCCTAAACCTACATAATTTATCTATGTATAATAATTTAAAGTCACTGGGCTAAATAATTTTAAGGACATGTCCATGTGTAAGTGTATTGAGTTCTCTATTTCAGTAAGAATAATGTAATTTACTTTCAGTAAAAGAATATCTACTTGTCCCAAAACCTTAAGATGTTATTTTAATCATCAAAAAATATTTCCAGTCCAGTATAGGATAGTTGTAGCTTGGTGTTTGGGCCTTCTAACTGGGAGGACATATACTCGGCACTTTTGTAAAACTGAAGGAGGAATAACACCCAGTGATTCTGACAGCTGTAAAGTCATCATAGTGTAACTATATGTTCTGTGGTTTTTACAACTTCATCCTTGTCAAAAAGAAGACATTAAAGCCTTTCTAAAAATAGTTATATTTATGTCTTTACTTGAGTTGATAGTAGTTTATATCAAGATATGGTTGCCTAAACTTATTTTGTTTATTTAACTTGTACTAGTACTCCATACCTACCTAGGCTGAGTCATAAGCCAGTGTGATAAAAAAGGGGGAAGACTTAAGGCTTTTCTCCTTCAAATATAAGTGATTATTTATACAAAACAAGGAAGCCAAAAAGGAAAGAGCAGGTTTGCTATGACTAGCCTTTTCCTTAAGTTGTGTAGGTAAAGTTTTATTTCTTAGAAAAAATTAGGTAATATTGAGCATCTGCATAATAGTCTAGTGTTTAAAGAAGATTGCTTGATTTCCTTTGAAACTGTGAGTTCTCAGGACATTTGACAAATTGCAAAAGTACAGTGCATATTTAAAAATTGATATGATTAAGGTGATTTGATATCTATGCACTGATATATTGTTATTTTCTTTTTTTAGTGGTAAGTGTGGAATCCAGGGCCTCACACAGGCTAAACTACAACCTCCACATCCTAATATGGTATCTTAGGTCACACTAGCTCTCACTTCACCATTCAGCAGACATTAGACAATTGAGGGATTATTAAAATCTGTGCTGACCCTTGTACTGATCGTAGTTTATTCTGGATAAACTTCCAGCACCATACTCTGTGCATTTGTTTCTTGAATTCAAGTGTTGACAATGCATGAAATAAAATATTTCAGATCCTTCAGAAAAACTTAATAGTCTAACCTGTGAAGAGTTATCAGTCTTCAACAATGACTCACTGAATATCAGTCAGATTTTCACGGATTTCCTTAATACTGCACATGTGAGGAGGCACTGCACCCTTGAGGAATTAAAGTAAGTTAAACCTGCATCTTTATATATAAAAACAGTATATAGTAAAATGTGGATAAGCCCTGATTAGTTTTCTTTACCATGCAAAGAAAAATTACTCCATGTGTGTACTTTCTAAGACCATTCTTTGTAAAATATTTAGGTGCTTTGCTGGCCAGGATTTAGTGAAAGGCTTATAAAGTTGTTATTTTAATGTGAAGATATATTCTCTTCACAAAGTGTATCATAAAGATGAAAAGATATTTGGAATTAATAATCTCTCATCATTTCTTCTTATGTTGAAAATCAAATGTCATACTTGAATTAATTAACCTAACAAATTTCAATATTTTGCAATAATAAAATCATGCCCAATATAAATAAAGTTTTTAGTGTAGAATATTTAGAAGTTTCTTTCCTGAAGCAGCATCTAGATTGTTAATGATATTTTAATTTGTGTTTTCATTGTTTCTCACATCAGGTAGTGACATGGAAGGGATCAGTTTGCAAGGACTGTAGGTTCTACTAGTAAATGCTTCAGAAAAGCAGTCTGTCACATCATTCTGTTACTGATGTCATGGAATTGTTGGAGAAGGAGGATCTTACTTTTAGAAACAGTAAAATAAGTGTAAATTAAAAGTCTCTTGAAATGTAAATTCCTTTGATTGTTTTATAGTCTAATATTGCAGTAGAAAGGAATCAAGAGTCTGGTACTCTGTCAAATCTGAAGGAGGAAATTATTTAGCTGTTGTTCTTAGCTATTTTTCATTTTTAACTCTAACATAGAGATCAATATGAAGTTGCTGTATTTTCTAAAAAAGTCATTAAAACTCATCTAAGTCTACCTGTACTTTCACTATTATTTCATAAAAGAAAGGACACCTGAAACTAAGGATATTATGGGAAAAAGCAGTATAAAGTACAGTTCTTTAAAATTAAAATTACTGAATAGTCACTGTCTTTTCTTATATTCTCTGCTCTTCCGATGAGTGAAAATTTCATCACAGTTGCATCTGCACTTGTCCACAGACCAGAGTTTGTGAACTACTGGCTTAACCTACGTTGCACATGAAAATAAAATAAAAAAAAAAAGAGTTATAGGATGAAGTATTTCATATTTTGTGGCATACCTGGGCTGAAAAGTTAGACCAAAATATGTGACTTGTGTAGCCCTTTCTGTTCCCCATGCTCCTTTTGTTCTATACCTCAGGCAGCTATATGACAGAGTCTCTGTCAGTTTCTACCTTCCCCATAATAAAATACAAAAAAAAAAAAAAAACAAATAATGACTGTACTTAATTTTGGCTTTGGCATATTTTGACTGGCTGTCAACATAGTCCTAATTTACTGTACACAAAAGAGGTGATTTATCTGGCAGTCTGTTTACTGGAATTCTATTAAATGGCCAATGTAATGCTGAATGTTGTTAATGACAACTGAGGCTCTGCAAGTTTCTGAAGTGCCCTCTGAATCACCAATAAAAGACCGTGTCAGAGACCATAAAATCTTCTCTTCTTGCTTCCATTGTGGCTTTATTTCATGGGAAAGAGAAAAATGAGAATTTCTCATTAAAAGGCAGCTTAGTATACTAGGTACATTGAAAATTATGCCCCAGTTTGATACAGCACCCTTATATTTGCCTGCCTTAATGACTTCAATGTATGTAGTATTGATCAGAATATAAATGAAAGCTGAAACTTGGTTCTGTATATTGTGTATTGATCTTTTAATGTATTTCCAGCTCTTCTGGAAAAGATACTGCAATGCAGTCTTTGTTGTCATTTTCTGAGAGCAGTACTGATGAGGAAGAAGAAGATTTTCTTGACAAGCAACATGTTTTCACACTACCATGGTCAAAGAGTGCTTAATGATTATTTGTTCATTTCTTTTCCATTTTTGTACCCAGAGTAAACAACTGAAACAGTAACTAAGTGATTACCTGTGTTAGTGCTGGAGCTTTTGATTATTAATGTTTCTGATGTTTCAAACTTATAAACTAATAATGGTTGCAGTTTCTATAAGATATTTTCTGATGAGCTGACATTAAACATTATTAAATATTCAGTAAAGTAGATTATTCTCCATAATGTGGGTGATCTTTATTCAGTCAGTTTGAATACCTTAAGAATACCTTAAGATAGAGGTAATTCTGTATTCATTCTCCCTTTGGACAAGGGAAACAACACCATTTCTTCCATGCATCTACACACACACACACTCACATGCACACGCACACACACATGCACACACACACACACACACACACACACATCCTTTTGCTTCTGTGATTCTGGAGACCTCTTAGAACAGGCTGTGTGAAGGACCATTGTGATTGTCAAAGGAAATGACCTAGTGGGAGTGTTTTTCTGATGTTACCTAGTTCTAGATCTAGGGGATGGTGGATATTCAGTTTTTAATATTAGTTTTAACAATATTTAATCAATTATTTTACACAATTTTACAATCCAAGGATTTAAAAATAAAGCAAAAGGATATATGGAGGATAGTTTTATGGTTGTCACTTTGTGATATTTTAGCACAGTTTTCCCTTATTTATGGAGTTTTTTTGAGATCAGCAAAAATGTCCCTGAAGGTTTACTATACTTTCACCAAAACATGATGATGTCTGACAGTTCAAACTCCTGTCTTTTGTGTATCTCTGGATACCTACCCCTTATATAAGACTGATCATGGTTCAATGTAAAATTTTCTTTAATGCCTTTTCCATTGTGTTAATAAATTGAACTGGAATTCATACACATCCTCTCCTGACAGGTTAGAAAATGATGATGAAGACACTGATAGTTATTTCTTTCACTTTTCATATAAAATAGTCTTTATTCAAGGTGATTAAAATAAGTAGATGGTAAGTAATCAAGTGATCCAGTCATATTGTCAAAATAAAATGTTGCAAAAGGAATAAATATCTCTAGAAAGAGAGTAACTCCTCAGTAATTTGATTTTCCTCTTTCAAAATCCCATAGACACAGCAATGAGTCATCCTTGAATCGTCATCATTTTTGTCAAAAGTCCTTTTGGCATCTTGTCTTGAGACTGCTGGCTATCTGGATTTTTTTAAATGGGGATTTCCTGTTCATATGTGAAAGCAGGAGAAGATGTTATGCCTTTGTTTTAGTGTATCTATTGAGGTTTAAAGTTTCTTGACTCTCTTTGCCCTCCTTTGCACTAAGACATCTTCTTCCCTTCTAATGAAGAGCTAAATTGTTCTTCTGAATCTGACTTATAAAACTCAGGTACTTTACTCAGTAAAAAAGCAGAAGTGATGTCTTGTTCTTGTTAGAGAGGATTGTACCACCACTATTCCCTTTGTGTGTTCAGCAATGGCTCTAGTCTTTTATGAATTGGCTCAGAAGAAGATTTTATATGATACCACTATCTTTTATAATATAAGAATTCTGACATGAATATTAAGCTGATAATTAATTGCTACCAACTCAGCTCTGGCCAAATTTAAAATGAGGAATGTGCCACACAGACTTTGTCATTTGACTTCCAATATGATACTGAATGTAAATGTGAGAGTCATCATGGGCAGAGCAGATCAGACTTCCTTCTGTCTTTACTTGCTTTCCATATAACACGTTTAGAAAAAGATCCTTTATTGCATTGCTATTAGTATAATTAGGAAATAAAAAGTAAATAAGATTAGAGCCTTTGCCTGAAGCACATTCATTTTACTCATTCACTCATTTTGAAGTTCGAGCTTAAAGTTGCTTTTTAAGGCCCGCACCTAGTTCTGACTGTGGAATTGAGAGAGGTACAGGTATTTCAGAAAAATTCTAACCATCTTAAGATTGGAAGGTCATTAGTGAATAAATGAATGTAAGTGACTGATATGCTATGTCAGTTCCTGGCTTTTCCTAAGGAGAAACAATATAATATGTAGTGAAAGAAACACAAGGTGTGTCTTTTTTTTTTTTTAATGTTCAATATTTAAATTTATTTTTAATTTCTCCACCAATAATATTTTATTTTGCTTAATAATGAATCAAAAGCCAAATGAAGTTACCTTTAAGACTACCATAGGCCTCTTGGTGCTTACCACAGGCTGTGTTCTTACACTGACTGTGTAGAAAGAGGAGGCAAAGTAAACCTACCCCATATACACCTCAGCCCAGGCCCTGTGCCTGTCTGTATTGTGAATTGGGAGACATGGGTAAACAAAACAAAACAAAAAGACTACCACAAAGCCTCATAGGTCATCATTACCATTTAACTTTAAAGGCATTTTTAGCTAGCTGTAAAACAGGGTAGTCTTAGAATCTTTTTTTTTTTTTGATTTTTTTTTCTTTTATTATTCATATGTGCATACAAGGCTTGGGTCATTTCTCCCCCCTGCCCCCACCCCCTCCCTTACACACTCTGCCCCTCCCTCTCCCCTCCACCCCCTCAATACCCAGCAGAAACTATTTTGCCCTTATTTCTAATTTTGTTGTAGAGAGAGTATAAGCTATAATAGGAAGGAACAAGGGTTTTTGCTGGTTGAGATAAGGATAGCTATAAGGGCATTGACTCACATTGATTTCCTGTGCGTGTGTGTTACCTTCCAGGTTAATTCTTTTTGATCTAATCTTTTCTCTAGTACCTGTTCCCCTTTTCCTATTGGCCTCAGTTGCTTTTAAGGTATCTGCTTTAGTTTCTCTGCGTTAAGGGCAACAAATGCTAGCTAGTTTTTTAGGTGTCTTACCTATCCTCACCCCTCCTTTGTGTGCTCTCGCTTTTTTAAGTTAACAGGTATGCTGTGGGACTCAAATGAAGCAATGGCCACGAAACACTTTTGGAGCTGGAATGGTCTCTGTTATATTCATTGCCATCACTTTTCATGCGTTTATTGCATAATTATTGAATATATGGACACATTAATGGTTGATCAACAAGTAAACTTAGGGTTGACGTAAATAATCCTCAAAATGATTCAATATCAAAAGTGGAGAGTGTTTTTAGTGCACTGGACAATTAGATTAAATGATATATAAATTTTATGTTAAAATCTAGATATTCAAGTATTTTTATTAAAATTTTTTCTGAAACATAATTCCATATGTTCATAACATTCTTCTAGTTAAAAGGTTTTAAACACTAAAATCAAAGCAGCATTTTATAAATACACTGAATATCATACTTCTGGAGAAGAATTATTTTAAAAACATACACCTCCCCAAATCTGTTTTTATAGGATATTCTGTCTCATCCTAATTTTCATCACTGGTTATTTATTATTAGCCACATTCGCATGAAAATAGTGTTTATTTCTTCAGAGTTCATCTGTGCCTATAGTTTATCCCCCATCTAAAGTCATAATTCTTTGTTAATGACACCCTGATTGTTCAGTGGGTAAATGATTATGATGTTGCAAACAAGATTATGACTTTAGCTGAGGAATAACCAGCAGGCAAAGATGAACTCTGAGGAAATGAAGAGCCTCCTCTTCTAATGCAAATGTCTTCCATAGTTAAGGAAACAGAGAGGATTTTCTTCACATTTTCCATAAGGTAACAGTTATGCTTCAAATGAAAATAATAAATTGATTGATAGAGATTCTTTTTCAAATGCATATAACACACAATCTCAGTTATGGAAATACAACTCTGAAAGGACTCGTGTTTTCACTTCTGCTAGAACAAAACAGCATGTGCATTGCTTTCAATCCAGAAAAAAATATACATACATTATCCTAGATACAAAGGTCTTTAAGACTTCTAAGGGTCTTCATTTCTGTGTCATGATTAATTAACCATTACATATTCAACTTACATATGAAAGGAATGTTTTAGAGTAAGTTTTTATATAATTTCACCCTTTTCAAATAATTGCCATATTTTATAGGATAAGATTTTTTTGTTCATTAAAATCATGGTAGTGATCATAAATGCCTCTGTATTTAAAATATGATAGCAGGAAGCACAGGTAGGAGATGAATGGATGCCCATTTTATTTTTCAAAAATATTCATCATATTTACTTTTCTGTTCTGTCCTCCTATGCCGTAGACTGAGAAAAATTCTCGCAGGTTAGGCTATTGGATCAATTAGGATTTGGTTTAATTTTATATTGAAAGAAACATCAGTTAAGAGTGTAATAAACAGATGCTTATTTCTTTCATATGGGAATTAAGTCTGATAGTATGAAGGCAGGAGCTACTGTGGGAAATACATTTTACGAGGTGGTTTCCATCTTCAGCGTCACTTCATCATCCAAGATGGTTGTAGACTTCCAGCCATCACAGAGTCCCAGGCTTCAGAAAATGGTGAATGAGAACAAATCAGGCACTTACTAACTGAGGTGGTTTTCTTTAAACTACGTCTTTCTGGAAGTCTCATACCACACTTCTGCCTGCATCTTATTGGCCAGAACTTAGCTACATTGAGATGTAATGGAACTGGAAATGTGGTTGATTAAGTGAGCATGTTGCTGATCAGAATAAAACTGAGGCTGTGCTACTAGGCTAGGGAATACTAAAGGCAAATGGCATCTCTTGTACAGCCTCTAATGTTATCCTCATTACTAATCTACAGCAGATGATTTCCAGAACATATGGATTTTATAGCTAATGTCCGAAATATGTGGTGGAAACCAGTCTTTTGAGAATTAAATCACATTTAGGAGCACTACTATACTTAAAACACTCTGTTTCTTATGTAATCCATGACTTTTAGTTTTTTAATGCCTATAGAAAGATATAATGTACACAAACAGCTCATGATTATTCAGCATAAAGTTTTCACCCTAGGACTTCTTGAAGTATATCCCGCATCTCTTTAAAGTTCACAATGAATTGTTCCAATATTAGTAAATTTGAAACCTGTTAAGTTGGAAATTTTCACAAGAGCACACAGAGAACAACTATA